ATAATTAAATTTTTTTTATTGTAACAATAATAGAAATAATGCTCAAATCTTGGAGGGATTGTCCACTCCACCACACACAAGGGGCCTGGGGAATCTGCAGGAGGAGGAACTTCCCTCTCTCCACTGCTCCAGAGTTCTCCTGGAGAACCTTCAAGGTGTGACACATTCACATCTCTCTCTGTGTATATTCTGTATTCTCTATTTAATTTTTTTTCACTCATGCTCCTGTTTTCTGTCAGAGTCACAAATCCTGTGTAGCCTCTTCCAGACCTTCTAGAAATTGTTTTAACTTCTCCAGGCCACCATGTGCCAGGTGAGGAATATCCATGGCATTGAAACATCCCTGCCTTGCCCTGTTCCCAAAGCCCTGTGTGCCCTCCTGGGCAGGGAATGTGCACCATGACCTTGGGATGGAATTGGCTCCACCTTTGTGTTAAATTTGCCAATTTTCCCAATGCCTTTGTGAAGTGCTTGAGGTATTTACAGCAGAAAAGAAACAGGAGAGAAGTTTTTCCATGCCTCAAATCCCTGGAATCTGGATCTGGATCGTGTTTTTCAGACACTGAGCTGGGATGTGATGGGAGCTGTTGGTTTCTCTGTGCTCCTCAAATCTGATTGCAACTGTTTGAAAATGAACTGTCACATTGCATAATCAGAGAACAGAGCTGGGGAAGTGTTACAGGTTTTTTTTTTCTGTGGGATTCAGTCCAACTCTGATTATTCAGAGCTCTTTGGATACCTCCAGCTCACTCCTGTGGATCAATCAACCAGCTCTGCACTTACAGAGTGAGGGAAAAGAGGCTTCACAATTTCAGTGGGAACAATTAATTGTGACTGTTCTGTTACAGAGGGAAAAGAGGAAAAAAAAAATACTAAAATTATTTTTTTCCTTGAGCTTGTTAGTTAAATGTGGTGAGGTGCTTGTTCTCCCCTCACATTCAGAGGAGCTCACCAACTTTACAGTGAGAGGAGAAAGAAGAGAGATTAAATTATAAATGGAAACCAAATAAAACAGAGGGATGGGACAAAACTTTGTAACTTAGACAAGGTTGTCCATTTTCTCTTTTTCAGAAAGGCTTTTCCAGGGATAAAAGATCCATTATTTACACAGGGCTGCTCCACAGGATCTATTCCAAGGAGGAAAATGTAAATTCTCTTTACACCCCTTTAGGTTTGGAACTTTTTTGTCCCGTGGAGCCACTGGGATCAATGAAATGATAAAAAATTCCATTTTTCCTGAGATCTGAGCAGATCCAACAGAATTCCCCCCAGCCAGAGCTGCCAGCTGGGGAATCATCCCTGACCTTTGTGTGCCTCTTGTTCCAGCCCAGAAGTTCTTGGGATCTGATGATGAAGCCAATGAAGTCATGTTTAATCATTTAACCTTCCTCTGCCTGCACTGGGGCACTCACAGGAAATCTATTTCCAAACCCCAAAAAATAAATCATCTTTGAAAGGGACACAGTGAGCTAAAGAATCCTGAAATGTTATAAAGAATGAATCACAATTAGCTGAGAGGCCAGTCCAGTCTAGAAACTTTAATTTGGGGGGAAAATGATTTGCCTGTAAGTAGCTGAACTTTTGTCTTTTTTCATATATATATATATAAAATAATGCTATATTTTAAAGCAGAAAGTTATTTTCTTTTCTTTCAAATGCTTAAAAACTAGAGAGAAGATTCCCAGTGCAGGCTTTAGAAAAGAAGAAAAAAAAAAAATTCTGTTGTGAAATAGGTAAAAGTTGTGAAATTGGGGATTGTATTCTCGGAGAAATGAAACTTTTAAGGCTTTTTTATTGTTGAAGATGTTGCAAAGATTTGTCAAACAAAATTTAAGGAAGGAACCAAAGAGAAATAATTCTGAACTTGTTTTCACAGAGTAAAATGTTGAGGCTGGAATTCATAATTTTCTTGCAACCTTGGTAGGTTTATTACCCTGCAAATTATTCATAGCTGTGATTCCATTAGATCATAGAAAATAGGTACCAAAAAAATCTTTAATTTGTCTTTTGGCTTATTTGAAAAATTTGGAAAAAAAGGAAGACAAATGATAAGTTCTTGAGTGAAATTTTTAGAATTTAAAATTTTGCTTTCCATGAAATAATTTGTGATAGACAATGTAAAACCAAAACTTCACAAAGAAACAAGCTGAGTAATAACTTAAAAAAAATAAAGTTATGAATTAATAAGGTGAGAAAATTTGCTCCAACATTAGTTTTGGTTTGGAGTTTTGGATTTTTTTTTTTTTTTTTTTGAGACAAACTTGTTAAACTTTTTTTAAAGACCTTCATTATTAGCTTTTTAATGTTTTATATGTTTTTAGCTGGAAGGAAAATTCTAGCTTCAAGGCAGCCTTGAATTTTGTAGTTGGGAAATGTGGGTGAGAGAAGCTGGTTCTTTTTAAGAAATATAGTTTAAAATGGTGCACTGTGCATTTTACCCTAAGTTAATACAGTTAATTTAATTATAATTATAATAATATAGTTATTAAATCAGCTGTGCTGTAATTATGAGTTTATAGGTCATTTGCTAGAGAGTTTATTTCCAATTCCAGCTTGTGAAAATGAATACAACAGTGCATTAGCAACACAGTAAAAGATAATGGGGGAATAAATTAAAATCAGAATAGAAACAACTTCATGGAAATAAATCCCAGAACCATTTGAATCATTGTCTTGGAGTGTTTTATTTTAAAGGTACTTTGCCCTCAGATTTATGGAGCTGCAAGGAAAATATATTTATTGGATTATAAAAGTGAAAATATTGCTCCAAGCCCGTGGCTTTGGGAAATGGGGGGGAAAACAGGAACTGAAAATGTCCTGGCCACACCAAACTCTGTTCCAGGAATCCCAGGGGAGGGAATTAATTCAGGACACCTTTCCCAAGGACAGAATCTGCTTTTGCACTTTTTTTGGTGTTAAATTCATTTGTAAAGAATGAAAATCAAAAGCTGATTTTTCACTCCTGTGTTTGGCTGGGGACACTGGCAGAGCTCTTGTTTTCCTAGAGGAAAATGCTGGATATTTTATTTATTTATTGTCAATAAATATTCAATATTCATCCCTGGCAGCTCATCCCAAATGCTGAGGGTGCCCCTGGAGCTGGGATCCCCTTTTTGGGTTCATTTTTTCTGGGAAATGACCACGAGGGAATTGGGGTGGGAGCAGGAACTGCCCTGGGATGTTGCAAGATTTTTGGGTTTGGTCGTCAGGAAATTGTCATGTTTTGTTGTTTGTTACAATTTGTGTCACAATTTGCTCTTTTTATGAAAAAAAAAAACAAAAAAAAAAATTTAGTTTTGCTTTCCAGATTGTTTCCTATCAGAATAAACTCAAGGGTTTGGTGTCAGCCTCACTGGGAGCAAATTTAATCCCTTTAGTTCTTTAGGGATCCTACGAGGAAAACAATGGGAAATATTTTCCTGCAATGGGAAAATTTTTATTAAAAGAGTAAATATTTGATCTCTCCCATTTTGTAATCATGAGCTCAAGGTGTAACTCCTGGTCAAAATGTGGAAATTCACCTTTCTAGGATATTCTAGATGATTTTTATATTCCCCTGTGGTTAAAAATGTCCCACTGAAAGTTTTAGGAAATCTCATTTCTTTGGTATTTTTCTTTCAGTTTTAATTTGAGTTATTTTTCCAGGCATTAAATACAATAAGTAGAATTATTCTGACTTGAGTAATAATTGGTTTCTTGTTTTGTTTTGATTTTTTAAAAATGAGAATTTGAACTGTCTGAAAGCACAGTAATGGAGAAAAGTTACTACTTGAAAAAAGGGTGTAAAAAGAAGCAAATGGTCTTAGCACAGATTTATTATTTTTTAATCTGCCACAGAAAAATTTATCAATTCTACAGCTCAAAATTTAAATAATATGCAAGAACATTGTAAAATAATTGTAGTTTTCCTTCTTTAGTGTGTAGTAGTTAAGGTTTCAACAGAACTGTAACAACGTTAAAATTGCATAAATGTAATTTTCCTGGATTACCCTGCAGTTGCTTTAATCAAAAATTAATGCTATTCTAAATTCTACAATTCAGTAGTAAAGGGTGGAATTTAGAATAGCATTAATTATTGATTCAAGTCATTTCCTTGTGTAATTTATTGCATTGCTCCTGGAAAATCAGAATTTTATTGCTTATTTGTAGGTTTTTTAAAAGGAATGGATAATTATTTTTTAATGTTTGCTATTCCCAAGGATTTCCAGCTTCCTGGAACTGTTGTGGCCAAGCCTGAGTAGGGAGCACTGATCTTGCTTTTATTTTTCTGGACAGTTTTGCTTCAAAAGAATTTTATCTCCTGTAAATTCCCTTCTCACATTCAAAGCAAGTGCTTGTGAGAATCTTTATTTTTGGTTTTTTAAGGGGTTTCTTGGGTGTTTGGTAAATTTTGAGCCTCAGGAGTAAGGACTGATCACAAAATAAAAGGGAGCAGCTTTGTACAGAACAGCTCCAGTCACAGGGGCTGCACCTTCCCTGATTTGAAATTAATTTAGGCTCAGCTTTCTGGATTTTAATGAATTTTTACCAGTGTGATGTAGGCAGTGCCTGGAATTGGTTATTTGGATTGAGATCCTGGCTTTGGGAGAACAGATCTAAGGGTATAATTTGGATTATTGTGCTCTTTCTGTTCTCAGAAAGTTCCTTTGGACCACTGGAAATGGCATTGGAGCAATTAATTCCCTCTGCTTGTTGAAGGAATAAGGTAGAAGCAGCACTGGCATTGCAAAGATATGGGGAAATAAAATCTAGAAAAGCTTTTTCCATAGCAGGGGCAGCTTTGTTCCACTCTCAGGGTTTGAAAAACAAAATTCAGTGCCTGTGGGTGCTCAGATTTCCACCACCATTGTCCCTCTAAACTCTAAATGGTTTCAAACTGGCCTTTCTGCTTTTAAATTTCTCCCAATTCCTACTTAGGAAATCCTGGAAATCACAACACATTCTGAGCTCTGTTCAGGTGGGGTTTTCCTCATTAATAATTTTATTTTTCTTGTTTGCAGGACTTTGCTTCCCGGGCCAAACTGGCAGTGCAGAACCTGGTGCAGAAGGTTGGGTTCTTTGGGATCCTGGCCTGTGCCTCGGTGAGTTTTCCCCAGGAAAAGGGGGATTGATTGATTAATTGATTGATTAATTGATTGATTGATTGATTGATTGATTGATTGGCACAAACTGTAGCTTGCATGTCTTGCCATGGGATTTGGGGTTTTTTTTTTTTGCAGTTTCTGTGATCTCTGTGGTGCTCAGGGAAACAAAAAGCTGCTGGAATCGTGTTATGATTTCTTTAGGTGTTGATGTATTGTATTTGACATTCTTGATATCCTCAAATCCAGAGGTGTGCATGGGTTGGAGAGTGGAAAATCACCTGCAGAAATCCTGATGAGGGTGTCCATCCATTCCAATCCTCCCCCGTCTGCTCCTTGGGTCATTAGGAACCAAAGAGGGCAGAAAAAAAGAAACAAATTTCAATCGTGGCTGTGGAGCTACAAACTGCTCCTGGCTTTTTTAATCAAGAGGTGAAAGGTTCATCTCCAGTGATGCTATTTTAGGTTTTGAGTAGGATAATGCCCTTCTTTCAGAATAAAAAAAAAAAAAAATATTGGAGGTTTAAATCTCTCTCTGGAGCTGATGTACCTTGTTCTTCATCCCACACACAAACTGTGGGACGTGATTGCAGTGAAGGGGGAAGAGTGGGACCCCCCCAATCCCATTTTTCTGCAATAACCACAGCATTACCCAGCTGCTGAGGCTTTCACTCCACACTTGTCCAGCATCTCTTGGTTTCCTAAACTGTAAAGATGACACAGCCAAGTGCTTGCTCAGATGTGGATAACCTGTGTTACAATTAATCTGATTAGAGCTGCTGACATTAAGCTCCTGCTCACTAATCCTTTAAAAGCTCTTGAAGTTTAGAGTGGAGTCGTAGCCTACAAGCTGCTCCTAAAATCCTCCCAGCCAGGGAGCTCTCAGGAGCTGCTCCCTGCTCTGACTCAGTCCTGGGACACGTCCCTGCCCCAGCTGTCCCCTGTCTTTGTCACCAGCACAGCTTGGAGGTGGCAGGGATGAGTGACTGGGCAAGGTGGAGGAATGGAGGAGGAGGAGGAGGAGGAGGAGGAAGGAGTTGGTAAACACGAGAGCTGGCTGTAAACACCCCGCAGTTCCTGCTTAGTAATATTTAAACATTTGTTTAACTTCTTCCCCACTTTGCTGCCCGAGCCTTGCTCAGGCCCTGAGCTGCAGCTGGGCTGGGGGAGGGATGAGGATGCACCAGGGCACACCTGGGGGTTTGTGAATGTGCTCACACAACAACTGCAGGAGGAAGGCACAGCTGGAAGGTTCCAGAGGGTTGGAAAAGCAGGAATGCAGAGCTGTCCCTTGCTGTGGCACCCCTGGGTGAGCAAGGGGGAGGAAAGCAGCCCCCCATGTGTGCCCAGGGGCTTTGCCTCGGGGCTTCTCTGCTTCCCTGTGCTCTACCAGGTGTCTTCTCTGCTTGCCTCCCTTGTAACTGTGATCTTCCTTCTGGATTTTAGGCAGAGTTTTATTTGATGTGTTTTTTATGAGTGGAGAACTTGCTGGTGAAGTGGTAATGACTGTCCCAGCTGTGGGTCCTTGTCTCTCAAGTGGTGGCTTCTAAATGCTGCATAAAAACACCATCAGATGGAAATTAGAATTCTGCAAGCTTATCCAGTGAAGTCAACTGACTGTCATGTTGTTTAGTGGCAAGAAGGAAGTCAGGATTGTCTGGAGTTTATTTCTATATAAAGGCAGCTCTGAGGAAGGAACAAAGCAAGAATCAGCCCTGAATTTCCTCACTGTGACTTGTGAGAATTTGCCCTCTTGCCTTTGTGGGCCTTTTTTTGGGCAACTTTCAGTAACAAGCACAGTGCTGGCTGCTCAGACACCCTCCTGGGGGGTGCTGAGTAACTTCTGCCCGTGGTGTGCTCAGAGATACCCACACACCCTGGGCCAAACTCACTGCAGGGCTGGAAACATTCTGTGAACCGAGAAAACACCCTGAGAGCAGCCAGGAACAGCCTGGAGCAGCCTTGGCTCCAGGAGCACAATGCTGAGCAGGCAATCATTGACAGCTCCTGGGGCCAGGACAGCTGGCCCAGGTGAGCAGGGAGTGCTGCAGCCCAGGTGAGCAGGGAGCTGCTGCTGCAGCCCAGGTGAGCAGGGAGTGCTGCAGCCCAGGTGAGGATGGAGCTGCTGCTGCAGCCCAGGTGAGGATGGA